AGCCAGCACAGACCGTCGGCAGCCAGTCCGTAGTGTCTTGTTAATAGGGGTGTCAATAGGTAGAGCTTACTAGAGTTAGCAAGAAATAGAGCTTGCAAGAGTTGGTAATAAACTGTTGGAACAACAAACCTTCTCCCGTTGTCCTGTCCTCTCTGCACAGCACAACCCCACGCTGAGTTCCTATATCTCACCACCCAAACACCAAGCAGAAGCAACTGATCTGCCACCAGCTGAACCGTTTCTGAGAAGAGCCCGGCCTGGTTTCTTACCGCTAGAGAGTAACAGCCAGGTCGAGGGCTCCATGCTGCACGCACTGGGGAGGCACCCCCCCGTAGCTTCAATGACTGAGCGGTCCTCCCTTCTGCAGAGACATTCTCCCAAGGACAGCCCAGGAGAGCAGCAGATCACAAGTCCTGGGGTTCTTCAGGTGACACAGCTGGGCCGTAGACCTGTGGCTCAGCTTTTACCTGGAGGAGACAACCCATCACCCAGCAACTGAAGGAGGAACCTCTGATAAGTTCATTTAGCAAGGCACTTGGCAAAGAGGATTTCACTGCAGCAGCTAAACTAGCTGCTGCTTCATGCTGCCCTTCCTTTCCCCTGAGCAGGGGCTTTGTTTCTGCGTTAAGAGCTGCCTTGTCGTGCATGCTATGGAGGACAGTCCGTGGTTTGCAGTGGTTTACGTTGACCATCATAAGAACTAAATGTGCAGGTTCACAAGTCCCCACTAGACACGCAGTGCTACCCAGCGCAGTCCCACCACGGAGACATTTCCCTAGTTAGGGCCCAAGATCAGAGGGCAGAGTATGCGATTCCCTCCTCCCAAGTTGAACCTCCGGATGAAGACGCCAACATCTTCATCTAAGCTGGCCTGGGGAAGCAGTGTTTCATCTCCTGCCTTCTCCTGGTTACTATAACGTAGCTATTGCTGAGTCAGCAGCCCGGGTTACAGAAATCGGGGATTTTTCCTATCGTTCCAGGGCTGAACCAGTTCGCATAAAGTCATCCAGGAGACGATCAAAGCAGGGACGCTGGTTTCACACTGCAGCCTTGCACACCTGGGGAGGGACAGGGGGTCCCACGTGCCTCCGGCCACAGCCACACAGCCACATCTGTCACCCCTGTTGCCTCTGCTCACTGGCCGCTCCCCATCGTTCCCCCTTTCCTCATCCTCTTCCTCCATTATCCCCCTCACTATGTCTTTTCCCACAAATTTTCATCTTTTTTTTTTCTGGCTTCTCTGAGGTGTTCCACTCCCAGACCCCCTGCCCTGACGCACAGCCCTCGGTGGCAGCATCCC